AGTTACCCCCTTGAGTTCTCCCTCCACGGGAATCATGGCAGCCTTCAGGTCAGCGACTTCCCTCTCCATCCGTTCCCTTTCTCTCTCCCACAGTTCTTTGTCGAGCAGGAGACAATCCTTTTCCTCGAGGGCTTTTTCAGCTCTCTCTTTCTCCCACGCCAGCACATCGGCCTGCTCCCGAAACATCTCCTAACTTTGTTCGAGGGAGTTCTTCAACTTCTGTGTCTTGGCTTGAAGAGTCGCTTACTCTGACTCCAGTTCCTTGACCCTACAAGAGGAGTTGGCCCCTTCGCCCGCAAGGACCACGACCATTTCTTCCACCTTCATCATCCCGACCATACTGGAAGCCAAATGCTTCCTTCGACCCTCTTCGTCGAGTCGCCTTATGATGTCAGACTCATTGTCAGACATAGTCAGAGGGAAGCCCTCGAAGAAATCCTTCTCCATGAAACAGGGCGCGAGGCTGAAGGCTCGGGAAGTCGCCCCTCCCCTAGTCACATCAGCAACCCCACCTTCGGGGCGACTCCTTTTCTTGCTCAAAACAGCAGCTTGTTGATTAGCATCGCGGATTCTCGACGACCCACTTGATCCATCCTTGACCGGTTCAGAGACTGAACCCATGCATGTAGCCTGGTGCGGCTTCACCAACCTCTTATGGCTCTTTTTCTCTTGGGTCAGTTTCAACAATCTCTCACGGTACTCCGCCATGTTACCTGCAAAAACAAAAACGGTATCCTCGGGTCAGCCTCGACGAGAAAACAAAATAAGTCAAGTCAAGAAGTAAAAATATAGTAAAATCAAGCGAGCAGAAACCTAAGGGATTCACGACTTGCCCGTAAGAACAACAATCGATGAGCGCCTTGGTGTTGATCGGGCGCGCCTCGATCATTGGCTCACCACCTTCATCGAGGATGTCATGTCCTTCCCTCGTGACCCACCTGGCGGGGAAGAACCTGTAGACGAACCGATTAAGGACACCATAGGCCTCTTCATCCTCAATGCTCATGCCGTCGGCGGGAGTATGGTAATGCTCGGGACCATGATCGTAGTGACCCAAACACTAATGGATGGGAAACTTCGAGACTCGCCCAACCTCCGGGTTACCCTCCGCATCATAACACAGTTAACCATTTTCATCCACAATTGTGGTCGGGTCGAACACGGCGTCCACGACTTCCTGAGTAGAATGTTGCACGACATACCATTTGTATTTGAAGTCACAGACAGAGTCTATGTAGATCCTAAATAGCCTCTTCGACTATTTGAGGGAGACCCAACTGGGTTTCCCACTCCGGGACTACCGTTGTATATGAAAAACCCCGAAGAACAGGGGGATGGTCGTCCCGATCCTCAGGAACCGGCAAGTAATCTCAAATGCCCGAATAAAGGCAATGGCGTTGGGGTGAAGCTGAGAGGGTGTTAGGTTCAAGTGATTGAACACCCCACCTAGAAATATTTGAAGGGAAGGCGAAGCCCCAACTCTTTGAATACGACCCCGTACATGGGGAAACGGTCTTCCTCGAACTTCGAGCATATTCGAGCGGTGGGAGTTGGTCGCAAGATCTTGAAGTTCCTTTGGAAACCTTCCTGATTGTCATCATACTCGACGACAGTGTAAGCCTGCCTCCTGCTATAATTATATATCGAGGCTATTCCTCGAGGCTCTGCCCCAACCCAAACCAATGTTGGATCATCGACCGTGTCAACCAAGTTGACACTTTCCTCGGCTATGTTGGTCTCTTTGACGTCCATGTGCTCGGAAGATTCGGGAGTGTCATCCATTTTACCTGTAAAGCTGAGGAAACCAGTGAATTCGATACCAAATCCAAATTCATCCCTCCACGACGCAGGTGAAAAGGTTATGCGACGCCCAGACTAAGTCGACACTCACTCAGGCAGAAAAGGGAAGTACACGGCCCTCTATCAGGGCATGAAAATCATGCCAGTCTTATAATACCATACAACGGTTATAACGACAAAAATTTGTTTTCATGAACACCCCGGGCACATGATGAATACAGCGAGGAAAATATGAATTTCTCGGCCAAAATCATGAATTCTCCAGGGATTGCATCAATTTCTTGTGCAAAATTCATGAATTTTGCGGGGACGTGTGGAGACCACGAGGTAAATTCACCTAAGTGTCGGTGAAAAGATGAATAACACGGACTCAAACACAAAAAGTACGCATGAATACCCCGAGCAAAACCCCCCCAGGGGTGAAATTATACAATTTAAACATCATCAAAGCCAATCTAAATAAGAGTATCACGAAAAATACTTACTTGAACAAGAATAGATGAGGAATAACGAGGGTAGATGAAAAACACGTGGCGGATTCTGCAGTGGCATTGGCGATTGAAGAAAACGGCACTGTGTTGGCAATAGGGAGAGTGGAGAGCGCGAGAATGTAAATGTGAATAATGGGCCTTAGGGCGCTATATATAAAGCTGGCGTGGAATGTGAAACGTCACGTCGGGCAGCTCAACAACCCCCTTTCTCATCGACACCTACACGCTCAGCTAATAATGACCCCTACTCCATAGGCCATCATTACAATCCCAAAGGTCACACCACGTGCCTAACCCTGCAGGCTTTCTCCTCCCCGCGACTAGAATGATCCCACCTCGAGTTCATTCTGAACGCTGCTTGGGTAAATCCATATATCAACGACTTTCTCAGTCAACACAATGAAAGATCCTCGTCGATCAATGCACCACGTAAAAGAAAAAGTTGGACTTAAGTCATAACTCCTTCATCAGGAGCAATGACTTGGGGGGCCCATATTCTGGATTGGGCCTGCCCTTGGCCCAACTCCACGTGAGACTTAACCCAATAATGTCGGTCAAAACATACTGGCCAGTTCTTCCCTTGACTACGCCAGGCAACAATTTCCACTCCCCGCAAGGAGGCAACCTCATCACACAAGGATAAACCCAGTTAGTCTTAGGAAGATCATCGTTGATCAGGAGGACATCGAGGTCATCTTCCGGTCCTCTCCGTGACCAAGACTGATCCCTTCACACGACCTCGCGTTTGGCGAGGAGCAACCACGATGAGCAGAAGCACCTCACAACGTTGGGGTTTATACATATCCTCTCTTTCGAGAGGATCAGAGATGGAACATTTCTCACTCTCTTACTTGCTTGCTCATTCCGAATCTCACTTTGACGTCAGAGTGTCTTGCAGATACCCTCACCTCACTCTCAAGTTCTGCTCGACGTAAGTTGTGACGGTCCATTCTGATCAGATACGATCAATGCTATTAACATGAATGTTGTAAATTTATTTACAAATTCATCTTAAATTTATATTTTATTCGATATATTCTATCAATTTGAATGTTTTAACTGCTTATTTAATATGTCACACAATATACTTATTAGTTGTTCCGTCTTTAGAATGTCACACAATATACTTATTACTTGCTCCGTCCAAAGTATTTTCATTTCTTTTATATAACACCTCTAACAAACACCTATTTGTGGTTAAATATATGTTTTATATAATTTAATATAAACTAATTATTCTAAAAAAAACTTTTTCTAAGAAAACAATTATACAATTAACATGGATTGCATGAGAAATAATAAAATAATATTATTGATATTTAATTAATATTATAAAATAACTCTTTTATTGAAATAACAAACTTAAATTCCTTCGATCTTTATTATAATTTATTTAATATTTATTGAATAAATAATAAATAAAATTTTGACACACACAAGTTTTAGATGGGTATATATATCTTTAAAGCAAAAAAAATTATTTTTTTAATTCATTTAAGAATAAATAAAATATGTCATAGTAAAATACCGAGACCCAACTAAATTGAAAAATATCATAGTATCCAACTAAATAATATATTTATTTTATATTTAGTTTAGAATATTTTAATTATATAATAGATTTAAAAAATAAAAAATTATAATTATAATATAGATTAATAGAGTTTAAGATGATAAACACGTAAGTTCATCTTGTATAAATCATCTTATAAAAAATCATAAAAATCAAATAAAACGAAGAAAAGACATAATTAAACGTACAAATTTAAAATCTTAATTTACTTTAGAAAAATGAGATTGAAATCGAAAAGACTTAAATGAACGGCTGAATCTCTAAATTATAAAAATATAAAAATTTATATTAATATGAGTGTTTACAAAAGTATATCTAAAACATGAAGTGGACACATTAGAGAATATTAATCTAAAATTTTGATTATTCCTACTACTCACATGTCCGACCAATAGAATCCATTTTATCATATAGTGTGTAGATTATTATAGTGTAGAAATTTATATTAATATGAGCGATTATAAAAACATACCTAAAACAATATGAGACTAGGTGAAGACATTGGAGAGTATTTACCTAAAATCTTGATTATTCCTATTATTGACATGTCCGGCCAATAGAATCCATTTAATTATATTATAGAAGACAAAAACAAAGAAGAAAATATGACACAACAATATCTTTTTAATCAGTAGTTTTATATTTAATTTAATTTGTAGTAACCCATTTTTCTTTCTTTAGAAAGCATAAGATGTTGATGAGACGAAACAAACTCATTTGGCTGCTATATCCTACATAGAGGGCCCACATTCCACGTAGACAGATGACTAGCATATAGTAATTAGCCTCCACGTTCTATTATGTATCCCACCCAACCCAACATTTCACAGTCAAATCCATTGTTGACTATGTATCCACCCTTTCTCTTTCTTTCTTTATTATCATTTACTTTCAACCACATCATCATCATCGTTCATCATGACCCATAACATACATACATACATACATCCATTATCCCCTTCTATAAAATAAACACATTCTCCTCACTAATCCCATACTTTCTTCCTCCTCTTCTTTACAACCTAAGAAGAAGAAAATTTACTTTTCTCAAGTTTCAATAAAATAAAAACAAAAACTGAAGCAGTATATTTAATAAAAGTTAGTTACGCTAGTATCGTAACATCGTTAATATTATCATGGCGCCGAAGGTTAAGAGCGGTGACATCAACGTAACCAGTAACGGCAACATTAACGGCGTCGTTAAAGAGCCGCATTTTCGTGGCGTGAGGAAGAGGCCATGGGGAAGATACGCCGCCGAGATCAGAGATCCAGGAAAGAAGAGCCGTGTTTGGCTCGGAACCTTCGACACGGCGGAGGAAGCGGCGAGAGCCTACGACACCGCCGCACGTGAATTCCGTGGTCCCAAGGCTAAAACAAACTTCCCTTATCATACGGAAACTCTCAAGATCCATAGCCCTAGCCAAAGCAGCACCGTCGAATCCTCGAGCCGCGACCGTGACGCCGCCGCCGCTGACTCTTCTCCTCCTCTTGACCTCAATTTGGCTCCTCCAATCAGAGGTCCGGTACGTTTTCCGTTTCAGCATCGCTTCACTCTGAATCCGATGCCGGCGGTAAACCAGGCGCAGGCGTTTTACTTCGACGCTAATCTACGCGCCGGTAAGGGTTACGGATTCGAATATTTTCCCTCCGTGACAGCGAGTGGAATCCACGAGACGACCACCGGTGCACACAGTGATTCCGACTCTTCGTCGGTGATTGATCTGAACCACCGTGAAGACGGTGTAAAAGACGGTAGAGATTTCGATTTCGATCTTAACTATCCTCCTCCAGAAGACATGCTATGATTCAGAATCTCAAACTTTGGTTTTATTTTTGTTTTTGTTTTTGCGGATTACGAATTTCTCTTTAGTTTTTAATAGTAGAGAAACACAGCAACGTCCGATAAAGAAGAAAACGAAACATGTGTGTCTATTTTTTGCGACAGAGAAAGAAACCATAGGTTTCAATCTGTTGTTCCGAAACTTCACCAGTTTGTTTCTTTTTAGATTAATTATAATGTTTTTGGGTTTGTAGCCAAAGTATAATTGAAATTAACACACCGAATTTGCAGTATTTGATTTTTAGTAGTATCTTATATGATATATCCAGAATACATTCATAGTATAAGTTTGGTTCAATTTTGGACTTCATCATTTTAAAATTATTCATAGTATAAGTTTGGTTCAATTTTGCAGTATTTGATTGTTTAGATACTAATTTTTAAAAATCAATTTTTTAACTTTAAAGTAATCATATATATGATTAAAATTGTATCTTATGCGCGACAAGGAATGATGAAGTTGATTATACTCTTTGTTGATTGATATTGATAGGGTGTTGGGTGGATTGACCTGCCGCCATGTGACAAGTGGCTCTTGGCTCTTGTTGCTTTGCTTTTTTTGAAGATATACCGTCACTTAAAATATTAATAATTTTATTTAATTATTCTACAAATACTCTCTCCGTTTCAAAAATACGTTCACTAAAAATGTGTAATACCACTGCCATTTTTATGCTCTTGCACTATCTAAATTTTGGGGTAAGGTCGATCTATGTTCTTTGAGTGATCAACCATCACGGGACTTGTTTTATTCTTCACATATGTTATTAAAAAACAAAGTATTTGAAGTGTTATTCCTACTGAGTGAACCTTACTTCCGTCACTATGAATCATGTGATTTGAATTTTCTTTTTTTCTTTTTTAAACTTTTTTTCGTTTTATATGGACAATAGTGATATTTTGAAACTTGAGTGTAATCCTCTAGATCTAAAGAAGCACTTTAGTAAGCATGATTAAGTTATTGTTCTTCCAAGGCTTTGTCAAGGGTTTCTAAAAACATCAGGGACTAGTTAAAAGAAAAGTGATGCATGCCATTGTGGACTTTCATCGTGATACTCTTGAAGTCGGCACTTCCATTGTTGGGTCATATACGCTAAATGGTGTTTCCTTTTTCATCGCTACGATAGCTGTTCCAACTTAAAGTTCTTATGTTCTTGTAAATCTCACCATACCTTTACGGTAGATGTTTTAAGATGTTTTTTAAAATGAGAATAACCGAGGTTATTATGTTTGTCTCTTAACAAAAATTTATTGGTTACATCGATCAGAGAATCTCAATACAATGCTTTAATTTTCGAGTATTTTTATAAAGTGTGTTCAAAAAGGATTCGTCTGACTGATGACAAACAAGTTTATAAGTAATAAAGCAAGACTTATAAAATAAAACAAAAAGTGTTTTAACCTGTAAACATAAATGACATAACATCAAAATAGTTGAAAATAAGTTGATTCAAACATATATTGCCCTAGCTTGACTCATTTTGCTCGTTCGTTTGGATACTCTGGGTAACTAGCGTATAGGAATGTAAAAGTTTGACTCTTAACACTATGTACTAAGTGCTTTATTTATAATACACAAAAATAATTACTTTCTAGTAGACTTTGCTTCTTTGTACGCCAGATGTATCTTGTAACTCCTCTCCGTGATCCCACGTTCTCCATTCGTACTCTCGAACTCACGTTCTCCAAGTTTCCCTCCAAAACGCTTCGCTCGCTTGATGGATCTTTTGGGTCTTTTGACGTTTCTAGGTCCAATGACTTATGTGGTCTTCCCTGGTCGACTGTTTATATTTTCAGACCTAATCACTTACTTGTAGAATCTCTCTAGGCCAATTGCATCAGTATTTGAATACTTGTAGAATCTCTCTAGGTCGACTGCATCAGTAGTTGAATCACATAAATTACCTTTTCCAAAGAACCTTCTTGATCCTTTTCTTTATGTTGGATTTTGGTCCTTGTCGAAAATCCCAGCCAATAAATTACCTCCCAAAATGTCCTTTTCGACTGAAAAAAGGTAGACATGGACATTTTAGTCCTTCTTACTTAGTACGAACTGACATCATCGTAATCATGACTTTTATCTCAAACGTCACGTCTGCGAATAAATGGCCACTACCCTACTTTTTAGCTTCAACTTCCTAGGATAAACGTGGCATCTAACTCAATAACTTCTTCAATCAATCGCCACCTGCTTGATACGTGCTGGTCGTGTAGCCACATCTTTTCCACTTTCTTCCCAAACGTTTAGTTTTCTTGATGGTATAAATACCCTTCTCATCTCTTCAGTTTCCTTTTTACGCCCTCTCTGCATTCTCAAACTCTCTATTTCAATCTCAAAGGCAACTTCTTGCTTCCGTTTTTTTTTTCAGAAAAATTTTCAATCATCCTCATGGCCACTTCAAGCCAGCTTACTGAACACATTCAAACACCTGATGAAATTGAACTAGTCTCCACATGGATGATTTCTTCATTGATATCCAAAATACTTTCATTTTGGAACCAACGACGTCACAAAACCTTCTAACTTTTCGTTTTTAAGTGTTGCTCCCTTTAATCTGTAAGCAAACCGCTTATGCTCTTTTGGAACCTATTCCTGATGAAATTAAAGCACCTAAACAATTGGAATACCGTTTCCCCACTCATAAGGCCAAAAAACCTCCCATTAACAGAGATTGCCCATAGATTTTTTGCACATTTACCGAACTACTAAGATTTCCGTTCTGCTCGTACTGTCAACCAAGATTACATTGCACGGTTGAAAAAAGTTGAGGAAGTTAAAGGTGATGTTTAGAAAGCTCAAGGCATTTTTTATTTGATTCGGCTTTCTAGGGTTTGCCCCAGTTATTGCAATTACATGCTGATTTCTGTACTTTATTTATGGGAAGGCTCCACAAACACCTTCCATTTTGCAATTGGTACGCTTACCCCCACCTTATTCGACATTGCGGCCATTACTGGCATTCGTCTCATAGGTGAAGCTTTTCTTCCTACTGAAGCCTACAAAAATGTCATCCCTTTTGAAAAGGACATTGTTGGCTTCACCAAATACATGGAGCGCTTTCATGCTAAAGATGTTGACACTGCATCTGACGAAGAGAACATTGCTTTCTTCGCTTTTTGGCTTTCCAAGTATGTATTTTGCAGCCGATCTTTGAAGGTAGCTAAAAGAAAAGTGATGCATGCCATTGTACTTTCATCGTGATACTCTTGAAGCCGACACTTCCATTGTTGGGTCATATACGCTAAATGGTGTTTCCTTTTTCATCACTACGATAGTTGTTCCAACTTAAAGTTCTTATGTTCCTGTAAACCTCACCATACCTTTACGGTAGATGTTTCAAGATGTTTTTTAAAATGAATTTATTAGGAATTTCATGGTACCTGGTGTCGTATGAAGGTAATCTTTCTTAATTTAGATGATTGTATTTTTTAGACTAATGACTCCAAATACAAGAGAGATGGTGAGTTTTGTGGGTTTGAAAAATCATTTTCAAATAATTTTTTTGGACAAAAACTGAGTTTCAAATACCTTTGTAAAATAAACAAGATAAAAGTAATGGAACACAAAAAAATCAGTAGATAGAAATGCAACAAAAATAAATAATTGAAATGAGAATAAACTTTTAAAACAAAATCAATTGATTCTTGAAATGAGAATAACCCGAAGTTATTATGTTTGTCTCTTAACGAAAGTTTACTGGTGAGATCGATCAGGAAATCTCAGTACAATGCTTCAATTTTCGAGTATTTTCACAAAGTGTGTTAAAAAAGGATTCGTTCGACTGGTGCCAAACAAGTTTATAAGCAATAAAGCAAGACTTATAAAATAAAAAGCATTTTAAACTGTAAACATAAATGACATAACATCAAAATAGTTGAAAATAAGTTGATTCAAACATATATTTCCCTAGCTTGACTCATTTCGCTCGTTCATTTGGATACTCTGAGTGACTAGCGTATATGAATGTAAAAGTTTGACCCTTAACACTATGCACTAAGTGCTTTATTTATAATACACAAAAAATAATTACTTTCTAGTGGTCTTCGCTTCTTTGTACGCCACATGTATCTTGTAACTCCTCTCCGTGATCCCATGTTCTCCATTCGTACTCTTGAACCCACGTTCTTCAAGTTTCCCTCCAAAATGCTTCGCTTGCTTGATGGATTTGTTGGGCCTTTTGACGTTTCTAGACCCAGTGACTTATGAGGTCTTCCCTGGCCGACTGCTTATGTTTTCAGACCCAATCACTTACTTGTAGAATCTCTCTAGGCCAATTGCATCAGTAGTTGAATACGTGTAGAATCTCTCTAGGTCGACTGCATCAGTAGTCGAATCACATAAATCACCTTTTCCAAAGAAACTTTTTGATCCTTTTCGAAAATCCCAACCAACAAATTATCCCCCAAAATGTACTTTTCGACTGAAAAAATGTAGAAATGGACATTTTAGTCCTTCTTACTTAGTACGAACTGATGTCATCGTAATCATGACTTTTATCTCAAATGTCACGTCTGCGAACAAACGACAACTATCCTACTTTTTAGCTTCAACTTCCAAGGATAAATGTGGCCTCCAACTTAACAACTTCTTCAATCAATTGCCACTTCTTGATACGTGCTGGTCGTGTAGCCACATTTTCCCCACTTTCTTCCCAAACATTTGGTTTTCTTGATGGTATAAATACCCTTCTCATCTCTTCAATTTCCTTTTTACGCTCTCTCTGCATTCTCAAACACTCTGTTTCAATCTCAAAGACAACTTCTTGCTTCCGTTTTTTTTCCAGAAAAATTTTCAATCATCCTTATAGCCACTTCAAGCCAACTTACTGAACACATTCAAACACCTAATTGAATAAGTGAAAAACACAAGAAGGGGGGTTGAATTGCTTGATCTCAAACTACTCCAGTCCACCCGCCAAGGTGATTTCGCCTCTCTCCAACGAGGTCTTAATTCACTAATCAAAA